AAAATCCCCTTGTCTCCTTTCCCTAGAATTTCATTGCACCAAGTGATCACTTGTTTTCATTTTTTTTATCTTAGATGTATTTATTTTAGAACTTTATATAAGTGGAATCAAATAGTAAATCCTTCTGATATGAATGGATAGACGATAGATTGGTAGAGTTCGACGCTTTTGACTCAACAATTTTTTAAAGATACATCCAGGTTGTTGTGGATATTGTAGTTCATCCTGACTGAGCAGTATGTGAGTGCATAGCATCTGGGTGGCCCCCTTCTGACGGATGGTTCCTGAGAGCTCCAGTTTGTTGCTCTCTTCCGGAAAGTGAGTGTGCTCTGGTGTCTCGTGTGGGCGTTTGCCTTCATTTTGCTTAAATGATACCTAGGAATAGAATTGGCCCTTCCACAGTAGCTGTATATTATATTTGCAAAGTGCGGTGCCATTAAAAACAACAGACTTTAGGGCAGTAGCTGCGGACCCCACTCTAGGGGCTCTGTCTCAGTTGCTACCCAGGAGCAATAAACTCAGATTGCTCTGCTTGCTCAGTCAAAAAAAAAAAAAAAAAATCAGACTTTAAATTTAGTGCAGTTTCTGGCCCTCCCTGGTGGTGCAGCGGGTTAAAGCACAGCACTGAGAAGCTAAAGCCACTTCCTCATGAGTTCGACTCCCGCCTGCCCTGGAGGTGACCACATGGTGCGGCAGACCTCTCCTGACCCACCCGCTGCTCCCCTCAGCAGTGTACTTCGTCCATCTGCCTGTTCTGCTCCCCGCTCTGTCTCTGGTGAAGCCTCTCGCTGCCCCTGAGCCTCTGGCCTGTAGCCCAATTCTGTATGCACAAATAAATCAATCTTAAAAAAAAAAAAGTTTAGCGCAGGTTTATGTTCACACAAAACTGGGCAGAAAGTAGAGTTCTCATTCCCTTCTGCTCCCCATCCCTAACCGCCCCCTGCCAACCAACATCCTACAGCAGAGTGGGGCATTCTCACAGCTGGTGACTGCCTGCCGCTACAGACATCAGGTGCTGGTCTTAGTGTGAACGTCATTTTCAGCTCATCTGGGTAAATATTAAGGAGAGCTACTGCTGAACTATAGATGAAATTGTTTATTTCGCCAGACACTGTCAGACCGCCTTGGCCCGTGACAGCCTCTGTGTTCCGACCAGCAATGAGTGTCCGAGCTTGGTGTTGTTGGACTTGCTATTGTTACTATTTCCTTCATTCCTTCTTTAGTGGTTTCCTTCTTTACTGTATGTCTGAGTTTCTGACAGATCATTTTCTTTCTCTATGAGAGCTTCTTTTAATGTTTCCTATAAAGTAAGAATATTGGCAACACATTCCTTCGTTTTGCTTGTCTGAGTCTGGCGCTGGTGCTTGCTGTGTGTCTTCAGATCATTGTGCTGTTGCTGTTTTGCCTTTTCGTGGTCTAGTGATTTTTTTTCCTTTTCCTTAAAGCTAGACGTGACGCACTAAATGAAGGGTCTCTAGCGAAATGGGCCATGTGGGTGGGAGCCAGTTCTGCAATCTTCGGTCAGGACGGCTAGAGGGTCTGTAGTCGGGTATTCCCTCCCCCTCTGTTAGTTTCTGATAAAATATTTTCTCTTTAGGGCAGACTTCAGTAAGAGAAACAGAGCTCTGATGTATTTCAGAGGGGTTACTTTACCTGCCTGAAATGCAATGGCTGTTTCTCTGATTTTTGCTTTTTTGCTGTGAGAACATGGTAGAGCTCCTCATGGTAAAACCCACAGAAATGTGGGTATCCCAGGGAGTTGGGTTGCTTGGTAGTTTCTGATGCTCAGACTTGCCCATAATATGTTAATTGTTCAGCTTTTTCTGTCCTGATGCTGTGTAAAAAGGTAGTTAATTAACTCTCTAAACTTTACGGATCAGAGATTTTGCTTTGAAGTGCCATTCGCAAAAATGTGAGATTGGAGTCTGATCCACATGGGCAGATGACATGCAGATTAGCAAGGGGTTAGTTCTGACTGGGGGTGTTTGCCTTTTGTAATAGGAAATCCAAAACCTGTTTTCGGGAGATGGAGAGCTATGGGGGCGAGTGACCTCTCTTCCTATTATCAGCCCTAGGCTTTACGTCAAGGGCATGGTAGAAGCAGAACTTAGATACCAGAGACAGAGTGGGGAGCAGAACAGGCAGACTGATGAAGCACGCTGCTGAGGGGAACAGCGGGCAGGTCAGGAGAGGTCTGTGCACCATGTGGGTCACCTCCCTCGTGGGGATAGAACTCAGGCTGTAGTAAAGAAAGTGTTGAGATTTAACCCCCAGGGAGGCTCAATTCTGTTTTCTTTTTTTTTTTTAAAGATTTATTTATTTGTGCATTCAGAACTGGGCTACAGGCCAGAGGCTCGGGGCAGTGAGAGGCTTCACCAGAGACAGAGTGGGGAGCAGAACAGGCAGATCGACGAAGTCCACTGCTGAGGGGAGCAGCGGGCGGGGCAGGAGAGGGCCGCCGCTCCCTGTGGGTCACTTCCGGGGCAGGCAGGAATCGAACTCATGCGGAAGTGGCTTTAGCTTCTCAGTGCAGTGCTTTAACCCGCTGCGTCCCCAGGGAGGGCCTCAATTCTGTTTTCTAATTGCTTCTTGCGAATGTATAGACATACACTTGATTTTTAAATTGATTTTCTAGTGTATAATCTTGGGAAAGTCACTGGACACAAACTGGAGACAACAGTTTCTGCCTCACCTTGGCATTTTAGAACGGCTGACTTGCCTAAATTTGGCATGATCATAACATCCCCAGAATCACGTGTTGGTCATGACTCATTAGTAACTCATCAAAATTAAATTAAGTCATTGACGCTTACAAATTTGCTTGACAAAATGGTACTCCACGGACCTTCCCCCAGTCAAACTAGCTGATCTTCCCCGACGAAAATGAAAGCGGGCTTCAAAGAGTGAGGTCGTGACTGGGGGCCCCCTCGAGAAGGGGTGGTGGTGCCTCCTTCCTCCATTCAGCAGCCTAGTTTGGCTGATTTCAGAGTTGGCAAGCGGAAAGGTGTCTGAGTGCACCCCACAACCTTCAAGCACAGGTTCCCCAGCACCCATCAAGCCTCTCTCTCCATATCACTGAAACCTCTGACTCCATGCAATCGCGCCTGGTGGCGAATATCGTGCTTTTTGAATGTGGCTCACAATCTTCTGCTAAGGCCCATTTCAGCATCCTTTTCATCACAGTTCTGCCTTCACTCTGCCACTGCACACAGCCTTTGGGGAAAGATTTTGGCTGCATGTGATTTTTTCCAGAAGCACAGATCTGATATTAAGTCGATGAGTTCTCCTCTGAAGGGGTTCACTGGACGTTCTACTTGGGGCCCCACGCGCTCCCAAAGGTGCTCACTAAAAGAGAGCAGGTCCTTGTCCACACAGAAGGGGCCTGCCTTGCAGGAGCTCCCATCTGAGTTTAACTCCTGGCTTTATTTGAGAAGTCACTTCCAGGAAGTTCCGACCATTTGATGTTGTTTTTCCCAATCCTGAAATTGTTTGGCAAAGCAAGGGCCTTCCCTCCCTCTGTGATGCCACCAAGACTCAGCACCTACAGTACCAGACAGACCCAGCGTCCTCAGGGCTTTTCAGTCTCCGAGGCAACATATTCCTTATTTATAAATTTCGTGGATGTTTTCACTTGCAACCAGCCCGCTGTGAATGAGGCTCCAACTAAAAGACTAAAAGTTGCCCAAATTGCTAGATACTGTCATGATCCCCAAAGACAAACCCATCCCAGAGGTCTCAGCAGCCCCCGCTGGGGGTGACCTGGCATCTCTGGGCCACCCAAGATGGCCGCCGTCCCTGGGCGTTCCTCCCACTCTCTGTGACTCGTCAAAGCAATCACACCTGGGTGGGGGGTCGGGGGGTCTCTCGGTAGGTTGCACACTGTGAAACAACAGTCTTGCACAAAAGCTTATATTATAAAAGCATTTTATTGAACACACTCTGGAAGTAGCCAGAACAAAATTTGGAATGGGGTGG